AGGACCTGTCTCGCCCCTTAAAAAACAATCCAATCAATCAAACGTGACTTCTTGCCCCGCGTGGCGAAAACTAATCAATCTTTCAAAAGGATATGTTACGTCCGTTCTACCGCAAACAGGTAACGCATAAGTCTCCTCACATGCGAGCAGCAAAACACCTAAACTGCTAGAATGCGCACGATAGCATCATCCATAAAAAGTATCAACACACCGTAGGCCGAACTACGGCTGCTCTGATTCTTTACTTTCTCAAGTAAAGATACGTAGGCACAAGGGCCACAATCCTTGCCGAGCACATTCCCCCCATATCTGTAGTTCCCCGAACTACGTCGACTCTGACTTTCTCACATCCGTTGAGAATACGTAGGCCTAGGACTGCGAAGTCCTACCGAGTCTGTTCTTTCTCTTTTCTTCCCCGTTCTCTCTTTCCTCCTAACTTTCCTGTTTCTAACCCTTCTTTTACCCTGTGGAGCACTTCTTATAGCATAATGTTTAAGCAAATAAATTCACACATCGACAAACAGAAGGTTCCCATCGAGTACGATGGATGCGAGGGGTGCTAATACCTTCCCCTCGCATAATCGGCTTCCGAATCCGTTCTTGGTTGCGAGACCATCTTATCCATCTCTTTCTTAAGGTTTTCTCGATATTTTCCTTTCCCCTCATGGGATAAATAAAGTTCGGTGGCGACTCTTCTGTCCTATCTTTTCGCCTCCCCGTCGTTGCGCGATGCATTTTTCGAGTAGCGACAGTAATATGATATAGCCATGTGGTGAGTTAATCATGAAACAACTAAAAGAAACTAAAGCAAAATTAAAATCAACTAAATTAATCAAAGTTAATTCAAAGGTTAATCTAAAAAATAAAAAAAAATTAATCAAAGTTAAAATCAAGAGATGCATCACAAACTACTAACTACCATTTAATCATAACATAAAATAAGATCAAGTATTAAACAATTAAGATCAAGGTTCATATATCCTAAAAACTCATTCATATTTACATGGTTAAACCTATTGAAAATAAAGTGCAAAGCATCCAAGTAATCACCAACTATTAAAATAAATCCTAAATAAAAATGAAGCAATTAGAATGAAATAAAATTAAATTTAAAGCATTTTAAAAAAAGAAAATATAAAAAATCATTTAAAATTAAAAAAATTAAAAAAATGGAGGTGAAATAGAAAAACAGGGGGTTCATTAGCAAAATAAAGCTCAACACAACAAAAGCCCAATCTGGATTCTGAAAACAACAAAAATGCTATAATGCACCACCACATGATCAAGGTCGTCCAGAATAAATCAAACATTCAAGAATCATTGAGATCAAACATCTCTCCACCCTTGGATCTGGCTTACTCAACATTATCCATAATCAAAGGTCAGGATGTAAGGATCCACCATATCTCACCTCAACTCAATATCATAAAGCTTAATTGCACAATCAACATGCTTAATCTCACACACACGTGGAAGGCTTAACTTAAATTAATTAAAAATTGAAAACAAAGATTAGCATCAGATCAAAATGAACATGAGTCTTCTTCCTCAAGCTGCTTCCAAAACGTGATTTTCAAAAAACTCCATGAAAACGCACAAACAAATACTCATTAGAACCGTGATCACACTAGGAATCCAACCATACATTTACATTTCACAAATGATATCAGGATTCAAACAAATTCACAAAACAACTCAAGAACCCTAATTGAACAAATTCAAATTAAATGATGATGATGAAATATAAATGGAAATTAGCTTAGGGTTAATGATCAACACATGAATACGCACGATTCAGTAACAAGAATTATGAAAAATAGTGAAGAAATGGACCTGCAATAAAGCTGCTCGGAGGTGCTTGAAGATGAATTTTGTTCTCACTCTTCAGAGCTCTGTTTAGCCTGATTTTTTTTACTCTAGCTTCCTTGAATTTCCTACTTGAGATATGGGCGAAGAATGGAGTTTGAATCTTCATGAATTCTTCCAACCAAATCGAGTTTTAGAGGAGTTTCACCATGATCTTGGCAGAGTAAACCTGGCTCTCAAAGCTTGCAAATTGCGTTAGGGTAGCTTTACATTTATAGTGAGATTGTGTATGAAGAGTAAGAGCGTGATATTTGAGCTAGAGTTGTGAAATTGAGTGTGTGAGGTTCACTTGCTCTAACCAACTTTTGCCAACTCTTTTTGATCCATTGGAGATGCTAAGCACGTGTTTTTTTATTAACAACAATTGTATGATCATTTATAAATGATTAGGAATGATGAGGTGTCCTCAATCCAGAATATTCTTCCCTTTTGTCTCATCTGTTTTGTCTTATGTAGGATGAATTTTTACACGATTAGCCACGTGCTCATGTGCACAATTCTTCTCCATTTGAGCCAATTCTTGATGCCTTACAAGTTATGCAATGATGTGAATCAAAGGCAATTCGAATTGGTGTGAATGGATGGCTAGATTGATTTGAACTTGCTATGTTGGAATGTTGTAGAACATGTGTCATAACTTGTGATTACTTTGAAATTGGACACAATGTAACCTATGGATCCTTGGAATTGAAGATTTGAGTGACCTTGAACACTTTCAATCTCAAAATGGACCTACAATTTTGGCTTTGTGAAGTCTTACCATTATGGACAACTTGGTAGCAATTAATGTCCAAGATCCAAAAACATGTCATCCTGGCTCCTTTGGAAGGATATAACTTGAGGTGCGATGAACCAATTGGGGCAAACTTGATATCTTTGGAAATGTCTCTTGGCCATGTACAACTTTCATGTTGGAAATTTTTTGAGAATATGCTTGTATGTTAAGATACAATGGTGTAAAGTCATGACATCATCACCATCTGAAACTTAAAAGAAAAAAAACCTAAGTATTTGTCATATTGCACAAAGTTGGAACTTCCATTTTCGCTTCAAATATCTCATACTTGGTGAATTATTCTTAGCTCAAATCTTGCACCATGGTGTAGTACTAAACACCCTCTTCGTTTGCATACCCCAAGTGTCCAAATTAAGTGCTTGGATCAGCGACAAATTGCACTAAAAGTCATGCTCATGAACATGCTCCAACACTTAGAAAATTTTCCCTGTCTTTTGAATTTTGCGCAAGAGTGGAACCTTGACTTTAACAGCCAATATCTCCCTACTAGAAGAAGCTTTTGATCTCAAATAGTTCATCAATATGTAGTATTTAATGAGATCTTCAATGGCATCCCTTGTTTGTTGAATTTGAATCCTTGAGTCAAACCCCACAACCTTGCAAAGTTGACTAAATGAGCATGATTTTATATACTTAGAAAATATTTCAAACTTCTCAAATTTTTACTTTTCTTTATTTTCAAGTTTTTTCTTGGTGAAACTTGATCAAACCTCATACTTTCATGATTCTTGACTTGAAATGCTCATGGTTGACCAAAAACTCAAAAGTCAAACCTTGAGTTTGGGCCTCAGTTGACTTTTTGGCAGTTGAAATAAAATCTTCAATTATTCATATCTCAAGCTTGTCCATCCAATAGAATTATAAGAATAGACCAAATGAAGTGTTTGGAACCCTTGAATCATGTGTTGAGCCATGAGATCATGATATGGTCAATGTCAAGTTGACCTTGACCAAAGACCCTTCTTTGGAATTTGTGGTGAAATGGAACTTGATGGTCATGTGTCCACATGAGCCACAACTTGTAGAAAGATGAAAAACCTTTGAGGTATGATCCTTGATCTAATGCATTAAGAGCTCATGCAAATGAATGATTGGGGTCATGACCTAATAGAGATGCATATGACTCGCGTCTGCCATTTTCTAAGATATGGTTAGCCTGTTAGCCTACATAAAAGTCTGTTATTTTAAATAGATTAACAAACTAAAGAACCAATGAAACTAAAAGTTTGTTACATTGACTTATTTTAACTTATCTATTAGTATAAATTTTGTGAGATTATTTGTTTAACATAATTTATGAAAATAACTTATAACATTGTTCATAAGGTGTTTTCAACTTATTTTTATAAGTACTCCAAAATAACCAATTTTCAAATATGTATTTTAATTTAAGGTACAAAATATAACATAATGATAATAAAAGAATTATTCATATTTATTTAAATAGATCGGTCTTTTAGACTTAAAAGATTTTTTTCATGCCTTGGGGTCTAGTCTTTTTAATTAAATAGATTTATAAAAATACTTTGACCTTTTTTATTTAAAAAATAATTTTAATCTAACTTAAATTTGTGTAGACTTGGCCTGTAAGATTCTGTTATCGACCTACCTATTTCTACCCTTAGTCATAATCTCTAGGCGCATAAGTTACTGAAAAATTACAATTTTGAAGATGTCCTCACAAAAGTTCATAAAATTTAAACAATATTGTGCATAATACGCACACTTTTAGTTATTAAGTTACCTATTTATCCCATTTTTTAACATGTTATGAAAAGCCACTTAAAAAAACAATACAATTGCTCATAAAGAAATGATAGTCTTTCTTTATTCAACCCAAAGAATGTGAAAGATAATGCTCACAAAAAGACATCTAAAATAATTTAAAAAATAGAATGAAAGTGGGTTTGTTTATTTATCCTTCATTAACTCATTAACTCATCACGAGCTGTGAGAACCAGAAAATATCAACAAGGGCCAGGTAGCAGTTAGGAGGGTACTGGACCCCACTTCCTACTCCCAGTTCAATGTCACACACCTCTCTCTTCTCCTTCAATAAAAAACCGCCACGTGTCCTTTGAGTTTCACAAAGCAACCGACACATCTTAGTTTACCATAACCAAAGGTAAAAACAGAACCACCATAATTAACATCTAAACTAATCTTAATCACCTAATAAACAACACAACAAAACTCTCACACCATTTAACAATCATTCATCTCTCTCTGCTCCTCTCACAAGCACATTACACAACAACACAACACACAAACATAAACAGAGGTAGTGTTTGTATTCACTTATAATATCGTTCTTGTCTGAGAAGAACAAAACCTGAAAATGGCCATGGATTGCGGCATCTATGGCGTCATCAAGCTCCGCACATTCTTCGCTTTCCTCATCCTCTTTCTCTCTACCTCCACCTTCTCCCTCTCTTCTTCTTCTTCTTCAAATGTTCAAATAAACTCAAACTCAATCTTGGTGGCTCTTCTCGACTCACATTACACAGAACTCGCTGAACTCGTTGAAAAAGCTATGCTTCTTCAGACACTAGAAGATACTGTCGGCAACAACAACATCACTATTTTCGCACCGAAAAACGAAGCTCTTGAACGAGATCTCGACCCTGACTTCAAAATCTTCCTCCTCGAACCACGAAATCTCAAGTCTCTCCAAACTCTCCTCATGTCACACATCATTCCAACGCGAATCAACGGATCCGAACCCGGGTCGACCCGACACAAAACGCTTTCACTCCAACACCACCTCACTATCCAACCAAACGAAACTTCTCAACAATGGACGGTTAACGGCGCGAGGATTCTCCATCTAAACGACGTAACTAGACCTGACGGCGTCATCCACGGAATCGAACGCCTTCTCATTCCACGTTCCGTTCAAGACGACTTCAATCGTCGCAGAAGTCTCGTCTCCATTGCCGCAATTAAACCTGAAGGAGCACCGGAAGTTGATCCGAGAACTCACCGCTTGAAAAAACCAGCCCCGCCGCAAAACCCTGGCTCACCGCCGGCTCTTCCAATATACGATGCATTGGCTCCGGGACCGTCACTAGCACCGGCGCCAGCACCAGGTATATAAATTAGATAACTGCAATTAATTAATTTGTAATTAACTTTTAATTTTGGTGAAATAGAAATTTTATTGATAACAAGAAAATTGATTGCTGAATTAATTTGTAACAAACTTTCAGGACCTGGTGGACCCCATCACCATTTCAACGGAGAGGCACAGGTGAAAGATTTCATCCAAACGCTGATTCATTACGGTGGTTACAACGAGATGGCGGATATTCTCGTTAACCTAACGTCGTTAGCAACGGAGATGAGTCGGTTAGTTTCAGAGGGTTACGTTTTAACGGTTTTAGCTCCAAATGATGAAGCTATGGCTAAGTTAACAACGGACCAGTTAAGTGAACCGGGTTCACCAGAACAAATTATGTATTATCATTTAATTCCTGAGTATCAAACTGAAGAGAGTATGTATAATGCTGTTAGAAGATTCGGGAAGGTTTGTTATGATACACTTCGATTGCCTCATAAGGTGGATGCTCAGGAAGCTGATGGGTCGGTTAAATTCGGGCACGGTGATGGGTCGGCTTATTTGTTCGACCCGGATATTTATACGGATGGGAGAATCTCTGTGCAAGGGATTGATGGGGTTTTGTTTCCTCATCAAGAAGAAGAGGAGGTTGTTGATAAGGATGTGAACCAAACCCGGTTGGGTCAACCTGCTAAAGCTGTGGTTAAGCAAAGAAGAGGTGCGTTGCTTTGATTTCTTTCTTCTCTTTCGCTTTTGCTTTATTTTGTTTGGGTGTGTTTTAAGTCAAGAGGAATATAGGGAAAAAATACAAAAAGGTGATTATGATGTGTTGATTAATTTGGTTGGATTAAAACTTTCTTTGCGCTTTACTTTATGTGTTCTGCTTTTGGTCATGATTCTGGTAAAGATGTGGTTGGAGCTTAGATGTAGGAATAATTTTGATGAGAAGAGTGTAGACTAGTTTTGTGGTTGGTTTTACAAAAACAAAAAATTATTTGTTAAATTAATTTGGATTTAAAGTTAGCGTGTTATAGAATTATTTATGGTTTTTGGTAGACGAACGGTAGTAGTCACTAGAAAGTCACATACACAAACGGCATCAATATTAGAGTTTGAGCCCTAGTTTTAGCATCCAATATAGCAATATCGACTTCTGCCAGTTGAGATAGGATTTATTGACGAAATTATTCATGTTTGAGTACATGTAAGTGAGTAGATCAATAATTTGAAACTCAAGAGTTATGTTTGGAGGAAAAGAAACTCTAAAAAAACTTCAATCTTAGGTTCGAATATACTTTGCACACAAAAGTACTTCTACTCAAGAACACTTTAAACATGTCAAAATCATTTTTTTTTAGAATCATCACCGTTTGCGAGTTAAAATTGATTTTAATCATGCGCTAAGTAACTAAGTTTTATTTTAGGTGATTTCTTGAGTTGTTGAGGGGTAAGTATTTTTTTTGTTTGCTACATTGTTTTCTTGTGATTTAAGAATGTTAGGTTAGATTGTTAGGAAATATAGACAATCGAAGTAGCAAATAGAATACTTAAGGTTTAAGAAACTGGTCTAATCTAAACCTTGAAAGGAAAAGGTCTTAACTTTTGTCTTACTAAATTAAATATATAATGTGGTTTTCCTACATATATGTCACTATAAAAGAATAAGGTGATCATTATTGTGCAAGGTAACTCAATAAGCTTTAAGAAATTTGAATTGAATATCAAATTATACTAAACAGTGTTGTCACTGTTATTAGCAAATATTCTCTTTTTAGGTTCATTGAATAACTGATATATCTAATCTACATAGAGATTAGATATGATAATTATTCAATTAATCTAAAAAGAAAATATTTACTTATAATAGTGATCAAAGAAAGTAGTAATTAATATTTTTCACTTGGAGTGATATTTTCAGTTAGCTATACATAAATTCTCTTTAAGCTAAAGTTTGAATGAAATGGCAGGAAAATTGTTGGAAACAGCCTGCTGGATGCTTGGAACCTTTGGACAGCATTCTAGATTCACCTCTTGTCAATAAACAAAAAAGTGAGATTATAACTTCATTTCTTGTGATTCCTGATAAATAGATAATTGATATTTATATATCGTCAACTTGAACTAATTATTAAACCATGAAATTTTTCATCTAAACTAATTATTAAACCATGAAATTTTTCATCTATTTCTCTTGATGTTCTCGTATTCATCTCAATTCAAACCCTCTTTCGATTTATGTGGTTGATTTAAACATACAATGCCAACTTTCAAGCATTTTGGAGTTTGGACTTGTTAGAATGTGGTTTCACAAAATTAATCAAGTCTCAACTTTTTGATGAAGATCAAACTGACTCATATTTCTGATTATATTTTAAACTTGATTTGGTGAAATCATAATGTGAGTAGTATGACTTCATCTAATGGCCGAGATCCCTTGCCTGCGTGTTTTCCATGGTTGCATGGAATTTGACACCGGTAATAATTTGAAAAGAAATGAATAAATTGAACTTAATCACAAGTATCAGTGTCATATTGGTGTGGTTGTCCTACATGGAGACACTAATTTTCCCCAGAGGTGTCGGTGTTACGGGGAATTTGATTTGAGTCCTTGGACCTGGTCATGATGATGGTCAACAGCTTCTCCTTTTCTTCCACCATGATTTCAATTCCAAAACACCAAATAACAAATAAATCCATGAGAAAGATAACTTCTTTTTAATTTCATATTTTATGGCCATATTTTTGCCAACTAGTTTAAAAATAAATATTGACATTAAGTTGACATTTCAATTAGTTTACATTAACATTATTAATTTATTCACATAGTGATAGATCATAGCTTGATTGCAGATGCACATGAAATTCCAAAGATGTAAAAAGTCAAAGGAATATGAATGAAGGCCAGATTTACTTGAATGGTTAATAGCAGCTGCTGCTATATATTGGTTTGGTTTAGCCAACTTTTTTTTTCCTCTCCCTCTTGATTTTCTTCTTGTGGATTTGGGTCCTTGATGTGAGCACAAAAAGTTTCTATAGTGCATATAAGAATAATATATATGTAATTAGGTTCAATTAGTACTGCTGCTATTATAATTCAATAGAAGATTGTGGGGTGAAAAGGTTTTGTGTAATAATAAGAAGGGCCAGAATCCATGCCTTGTTCGGTAAGTAATTTTACTCGGAAAAAATGGAAATACGGTAATAAAATTATTCTTTATTGTAATATGATCTTTTATTCATGTATCTCCCTTTTTCTATACATATGTATTTGTTGTTGGTACAAACCTAATCTGGTGTCCTCTGCGCAGGGTGTCCTCCATGCGCAAATGTTAATAATTCTTACTAGTTTATGTTTTGAAACTTAGAGGATTGGTAGTTAAAAAATGGACTTTCATATGTTGATGTACTATCTATAATAAGTTGTGTGAAAAAGAATCACAATTTAATAAAAAAGTAAGTGTCAATGAGGGAACTTCTATTTTAGAATATCTTTGAAACTTGGATTTAATACACTAACTAATTGCCCTTTTGCAAATAATACTCAATTAAAACTGTTTCTTTTAATACAAGTGGAGAAATTTGGGGTAGAGATGGCACTTCCCAACTTGTCTCTTTTGGGAATAATTATTTTGGTTAAATATATAATTTTGTGTTGTTAGCGTTGGTGTAGGCTGTAGCCAACTCTAAAAGAAAATTTGTAAATAAAGATTAGTTTAGATGGGTAAAGAGCAGCTCATATTTCATAAAGATTTGTATTTAATTTCTGTAGTTGAATTGAGGATTTTGGTGGTAGATGATTTATAAGTATTTATATGATGTAAATGTTGTTTGAGTCTTAAGGTCTGAAATTCAACTCGCTTAAAGCTTCTTGCCTGTCATATTTATTGCATTAGACAATTTTACACATTGAAACTTATAAATGTAAAGGGGAAATGATGTTTTTATTCAAAGAGGAGAGTACAGATTTGTAAGTGCATTTTCATTAATCCAAGCCTAACATTTATTATTTAAAAGTGATGTATCTAATATTAAATGGTGTTATGGCCGACAATATTGGTCGGTCTACTTTGAAGGAATTATAATTAGGGGTGACAAAATGGATGGATTGGATGAATATGGATTGAATTGATAATGGATGAATTAAAACAATTCATTAGTCCATTAACAATTCACAAAAATTTTCTTAAAAATTATCCAATTCAATCTATCCATTAACATATATTTTTAATGGATGGATATCCATCCATCCAATTTTTTTTTTATTTTGTAAGAATAAATAAATTTTTTTATTTTGTAAAATTATATAAATTTTTTATTTTTAAAATTCGATTTTATTTTATTTTTGAAAAATTCATTTTTTGTATTTATAAAAAATATGAAGTCGATTTTTTGTATTTTAAAAAAGTCGGTCTTTTTTTCAGGAACTATTTTTTTATTAAAAAAATTGTTTTTTTGTTTCGAAAAAAAAAATTTTCTTTAAAAAACCATTTTTTTTAAAATTGACTTTTTTTTCGAAAAACAAATCAATTTTTTATTTTGGAAAAAAAAATCGATTTTTCACACAAAAAGAAAACCGATTTTTTTTCAAAAAAAAACAATTTTTTTTTAGAAAAAAAAAACCGATTTTTTTTAAAAAAATATATCTTTTTTTTTCAGGAAAAAAATCGATCTTTTTTTTTTGAAAAAATTACAATTTTTTTATTGTAAAAAAAACAATTTTTTTCTTTTAAAAAAATTATTTTTAATTAGATTTTAAAAAATTTATTTTTAATTATTTTTAAAAATATAATATAACAAAAATAAAAATAATTCATTGGATTCTTAAAATATGTTGGATGGATTGAATCCATTCATGCATATAAATGGATGAATTTAATTCAATCCATTAACTTATTTTTTTATGTGGTGGATGAATTGGATGGATTGGATGGATTTTGTCTTAATGGATCCTATTGCCACCTCTAATTATAATCCTTTTAGAATCTTTTTAGAATTATTCTTCCAATAAGTATGGAGGATCCAAACCTCAGGTGTATATAATGGCTCTTTGCGATTCACTCTTAATAAATAACAAGTTTGTTATTTCCTCTATAATAAATAGAGTGTGCGACGATTTAGGTATTTAGGTTTAAATTCACTTTCAATTCACTATTCTCTCTCATATACTCACTTGAGCGTTTGAGTGCCAACCTTGTATAGGTCAACCCCCTCTCTGTCGCACCAAAAGTTTAGATATGTTATTACCACCAATCATTATTTCATTTTTTATTCCATTATGGAACATTGGCGCCGTCTGTGGGAATCGACTTTTAATTCTTGCATTTTACACGATTTTTATCAGCGATCAATCAACCACCTCCACCTCCTCTACAAGACATTGTGGATCTAGAAGCAGAGGTTCCGCAACATTCAAATTTGGTCCAGGCTCCTCCAATAGCTTGAATTGTCCAACTATTCCCGATTGGATCTCAGATTTCACCTCTAGTATCACAACTTGAAACCTTGTCTGGCTTTCAAGTGTTACGAGTCAACTTGGATTGCAAGGTTCCAACGAGCTAACTTGGATTACAAGGTTCTAACGAGTTGCTAAACAATATGTATAACATTGTTCGATAGCAGAATTCGTTAGCAATAGAAGATAAGTAGTTTCATCTCGAAGAAAGCCTCCACAATGCACTTCCTTCAGGGAACACCGCGCAAGAGGTTGTGTCAAAGAGAACTCACACCGCCGACCGCAACGAAGAAAATGAAGCTCCTAAGTCAAAGAATCATGAGAAGAGAAAAAATGCCCAAAGTCCCGAGGCAGACCGAGGCATTCATGCCCCTCCCCCCCCCCCCCCCCCCCCCCTCCGGACCTGGCGGAGAATAAACCATTAAAGAATTATTCGAAGCATCCTTTGTGCGCTCGTATCCTGAATAACAAAATAACCAAATCCATGGAGAAGCCTCCCAAACTGGGAGAGTACAATGGAAAGGAGATTCAGGAGATCACGCGTAACTCGTCAACGATTGGTTGAATTACTTTAGTGTTGACGAAGCCTTCAAATTCAAGATGTTTGCACTAACTCTGGTTGGTCCGTCCAGAAACTAGTTCAATGGTGTACTAGACGGGAGAATTGAATCATTGACGGATTTTTACAAACGATTCTCTATGCACACTTTTCCATTACAAAGTACTATACAAACTCACGCATACACACAGTGGCTGACATGGCTACTCCATCAAGTAGACAATCTCCACATGTTTGAGCATTTGATATGGTCGAACTTGCTCCCTCGAGATAAGCAAAGGATGGTGAAAGTGTTCCTCTTGCTGCAAGGCATTTTCAAAAGACTATGATACCGCCCCAAGGTTCGCGGTCGTACACTTAGCCATACGCTGAGTCAAAGGGGAATTCTCAAGGCGCAAAGACTAAACCTCTCTGAGTTGTTGAAAGAGATGCTTGAGCATATGATAAATTTCTCCGAGCAGAAAGTAGATCCTGATTCATCCTTACCACTGTTCTTACTAGATGAGTCACCTTGTTGGTTATAGAATTAAGGAGATTAAGGGTGAGAAAAATGTCTTGTATCCCAATAAGAGAGGTAAAAAAATGTTTGTATTTCCTGCAGGTACCTAATCGTTGAAGCATTAGATTGCAAACACTTTCATCCAACCAATGTTTTTCCTTAAGTATTGGTCATACCAAAGATCTTTTCAGCGACCATGTAGAGGTGCACCATGTATACCAAGGCAGAGTTACCAATTCTTCCTCCAGGGCACACCCAGATAGACTGGCCAAATTCTACCTCTGACTCTGAAGCACTCTAAGATCCAAAGTAGTAGAGGGGTCTGCTTCAGTCCCTACTTACCATATTCTCCGTCTTAGGAGCCAGAGTTGTATTTCATCCTACATCAAATATGCATGCAATCATTTTCAAAGGAAACCTGTCATGAATAAGTAAATTAAAGTCAAAGAAGCTAAGAGATTTCGGAACTTACAAAAAATAACCTTCATTTCTTCCCGAGAATGAACCTCTATCAGCAATTGAGTAAAATGA